CCTTCGCTCTGCTGACATGAGCTCCACACCTTGGGTCAACACAACACCGCCGGCAGTGTACTCCATCCCAGTCGTAGTCGCCTCCCTTGGAAGCGTTCTCTGGAGGGCACCTACTCCCCACATTCCCGTACGAAGGAGAGCCAACTTCCAAGCTGACCACGTTGCACAGGGCCTTGTCCAGTCCAACGTTGACCATTTCCAAGATCAAAGAACCTACAGCTTCACCGGGCAACCTACTCCAGTGCTTACCCACACACTGGGATTTTTTTTTTTTTGTTTTATATTAAAGGCAATTCCCTTTATGCTGCTTGTGAACATTGCCTCGGATACTTTCACTGTGCGTGTCCAAGAGCCTGACATCTCAATGGCCATCTATTAAATAGCTGAATCTCAGCCCATCTTTTGGTACATTTGAATCTCTGTTCTGCTTACCTTGGTGATTGTGATGAAGTCTGGTCCAAAGAAAATACTTTTAACTCCTTCAATTTTGAATAACTGTCTGTTAAGAAAAAAAAAAAAAAAAAAGCCAAAAATATACATACATTTCAGGCAAACTCCTAAAGATTTATTTAAGCTGTCACGGAAAAAAAGCTCTAGAATACATTTCTAGACAAAAATGAGCACTAAAACCAGAACCATTGAGAGAAACTCACAGTTACTTCGCCTACAGCTTAGTAAGAGCCAGGAGATCCTGCTTTGAAGCAGTGTACGTGGTAAAACTGAACATATCTTACAGGACAAGATGTGTGAGAGAGTTACTCCCGCTCCAGTTCTTCTTTGGAGGCAAAATGATATTCTGCATACAAAACCATGTTTGATCAGCATCAAAACCAGGAGGTACCTATTGTTTCAGGTAGAACTAGTGCAAATACGAGGAATGTTCCTGAGATTAAAGCAAGTTATTTAAAGTAGCTGAGCTCAATAAAAGCTGCCTTCAATTCTGTTGCCATTAAATAAAAGGAGTGGTGCCAAGCAGTCCACAAGGCTTTAACACACCAACACCCGTTGGGAGCAGTCTTCAAGATTTTTAGTCATTTGCATGGCGCATGAAAAAGTTGAAGATTTAGTAAAGGCTTAAGATTCATGCAAAATTGCTTGCGATGGCCCCACACAGCACCCAACAACCAGATGGTAAATCAGCACACCTCCAAAGCAGCACAGGAACTTAGGTGACAGGAAAGAGCACATTTTTGACAATATTTTAAGTATAAAACGCAGAATGAGAACATAAAGACCAACTTCCACAAATGGTTAAATAAACACCAACAAATTCATCTACAAAATAAATAAATGATGCTACTCCTGAAGAAAAAAAAACAAACCCCAAACCTAAAAAAAAAAAAAATCAGTTAAATACAGAATAAGGCTCTAAGAGTGTTTTTGTAATTAGGGAAAAAAAAAAAACAACAAAACCAACCATTCTCCCAAAAGACTGGAAAACCTCAAAAACACAACGAAGGAAGGAATTGGAAATCTTATCGCAAAGGTACGTGCGATGAAAGATGACAGAAGAGATTTCACAATACCCATCTGTAAGAGTTTCCACAGATGAAAGTTATACACACATTGGGCTTTTACATCACTAAACCAACTGGATTTTAAAGTTACTTAACCAGTGAAATTATGCAAGTGCGTCAAACCATCCTAGATCAATTAAATAATTCTCCCCCCTCCCTCCCCTTCAGGAAGCTTTTATTACTAACTTGGGAGAAATGAATATTCCCTTTCAAAATAACTGTGTACTCCATTTACAAAAACCATCATCTGGGGTTTAACGATACATAGTAGACCATTTTTTCCCATTAACCTGCACAATAGGCATCATCAAGCTGGTTTGCCACGGTACCCGTTCTAGCACATACATCTTCTTTGATGAAAATGTCTATTTGCAGATACAGGACAACAAAAAGCCACTTTCTGACAGTTGATTGCATTCTGCAACCTGACACACTTTGGCATAATCAGATCCTACAGCTTCAGCACTCCCCTAACACGTTTTCATGTCCTCAAAAACCTTTCACATTGTATTTATTACTTTAAGTCACGGAGTCTTGTTTGCAGAGATCCTGTTTGCTCTCAAACAACTCTGCGAGAGACCTTTGGAAACGTCAGAGCTGTATGGCTGATAACCCCACAGTTCCTGGAGAGACGGTCACGTCAAACAGCTGCTCCTTTTGCATATCCTTCTTCCAACATACACAAAGACGACTGAAACTGGAATCTCCAGAGGTAGCCTACTGCAGCATTTCTGGATCTTGCCCTCAAATCAAATCCCTTTCACCCATGGAACAGATAAAGTTGCTTTTCAGAGGCTAACGTGAAAGCAACGATGAACATGCAAAAATGTATGCTTCCAAATATTCCCAGCGAGGCTTGCGATGGTGCTCCAGACCCCTTCTATACCAAGATGATACGGAACAATGATCTGCTCAGCAATTCTTACTCCAGATTACGCATCGTGGTACTGAAAGCTGCAACCCCCAAGACCTGTTACAGATCCAGCCTGAAAGACTGGGGCCACAACTGGACATTAGAACCTTTTGTAAAGGAAAAATCATTGGCTCTGAAGTTCAGGTTAGCACCGCCACCCGTGAAAACAAGCAAGCTACTGCATTCAATTCATAGTGTTTGGGGACTGTTTACTGCCTTATGCTGTCATTGCCCGATTTTGAAAAGCTGCACGATTTTCAAGTAATTGCTTGAATTAAGAATGTTCTGATGGGAACGATTTTTGCGAAATCAGGGCCAGAGGTCTCACCAGTGATGCAGCAGCTGTCCAAGAACACTGATTTAGGATACCACTCAATCCAGTTGCACAAACCAGACCACAATGCATTCTGCTACACAGGGAGTACAGACACAGAGAAAAGACTACTTAAGTAATGACACTCTTCCCAGCTTTAATTATATGCACAAGCAAAGCAGCATTAAAAACTTAAGTGCAACCAAGCTGCTCCTGAGTATAAGGAGGAGCAGAACGATCAGAAGCTGTGCTTAAAAACATTGGTTGTAGACACACAGCCCACACTGGTCCCCCAAGCAAATTACAGTGTGTTTAATAATACCTTGCTAGAGGTGAGCAAAATGCTGCAGCTGGTGTGGAAAACTCCATAGTCCTCGACTCCAGCACTTCCTTCCCCGGAATGAACTTCAAACTATTTGGATTTGGTGTGTCCTGAGTTTGAATAAACATGCCTCTTACTGGAAATTAAAAAAAAAAAAACAAACACACAAGAAAAACTATGTAATCAAACATAAGTAGCTTAAATGAAAGTCAAGGATCCCAATTCCTTAGTAAGCCCAGACAAGGGTGATCACCGTGCTACAGCAAACAGCAGCCTGTGCAGCCAGGATGCTTTAAAAACCCAACGCAGTGGGTTCCCCGAAAGCCTCTGGACTGACGGGAAGGCTGACAAACACAGGGATGTTACCTCACAGGGAACCAGACGATAAACGAAACCTTGTCTTTGCTGCTTTTGCTAACTTCTATTTACTAAAAAGCATCCTACTGCAACGACATTGAACTGCACAAGGCCAGTACCAGCCTCGCCTTCTACTCAAGTCCAAGAGAAGCCCAACCTTTGCTTCTCTGTTGTGTTCAGGGTTTTATTTCATGATCCCCACATGCTGTGCAGTCCCTCTTCTAGCGTTATCCCTGCTTGTTCAAAGCACGCTCATTTTTACTAACCCTTTTTTCAAGATACACATGATCTATGGGGTTTGGCTTTTATTTCATTTTTCAGCACTATAAAAAAAGAAAAACAAGCATAGCAACGGTCACAGTGAACCACACCCTGCTTATAATATTTTCCACAGAGTGAAAAATTACTGTAAGCTACCACTTATGCTCCAGAAATTGAACTGACCAAACAATTCCATATAAAATTATTTACAGTTCACTGGTAAAGATATTCAAAAGATAAATTTTTACTGAAGTTCCTTTTACAACGTGGGTCTTTCCTTCACTAGAATAGTGTAAAAAAACCTGATCTTGACTAAAATTTAATACTCTACATTTAATGGTGTACATTAATAGCGAATTTTCCTGTAGACACGTCCACACAGCGTGTGCCTGCTGTCCCACTGAAGCCAAACATCAATTAGGGACAGTTTCCCGTGTTCTAATTCTCTTTCTAGTTCTCCTTCTTTCTAACTCTCCCTCTGCATCAAGTAACACAATGATATACAAACACTCAGGAAAGAAAAATGCATTTTAAAAACAAGAATCTCTAGGAACAAATACTTAGAAATAAATTATACTTGAGAAACAAGCTCCCGTGACTTCAATAAATACACAATAGAGGAATTTAAGGCAGCAAAAAGAGCTGATGTTTTCGTGAACGGCCGTGTTGCCTATGACCCCCCAGTATTAGATGACAAATCACGCTATTTATAAATTGCCAAATTGTTACCGCATGCGTCTGTCATGGTAACAACCCATTTGACTTGAACATACACAATGGCAAAGTGCGCACACGCTACATTTTCTTGTCTCTTTTTCTTTTTTAAAAGGAAAAAAAAGTCTTCACACAGAAGCACTTAGTTTTAACATGAAAAGAATAATCCTGATAGAACAAGTCAGCTTTATCCATAGGGATGGGAGAACTACTCATCTTCCAGACCCAGCTGGCAGCCAAAATCACATCCAGCGTAACAGCATAGCTTACAAATAACCAACAACAGGGGATTTGGATTGCGTAAATGGAATACGCTCTGCCCATTTTTTGGAAGCAATAGGTCGCTAACAGCTATCGTACACTGCTCATCTGGCATCTCCAGCGCCCTGGAACACACATGGCTGCATCAGCTCTCAGAAAAGGTGTCCCCGTGGGTAGCCACTGTATTTTAAAAGTATCTCCTGCAGTTAAAGCTCTGCCTTCCTAAGACCAGGTTTTTCAATCATTAATCAACCGGGAGAGTTCTTTGCACAGCTGTGAATAATCCATTTGGAATTTGTTATTCAGTAGTTGGTAACCGGCTGTATTTACATCAAACATCCGTACCATTTCAGCCCTCTGCAGAATGCTGTGTGTGCCTGCTTATTGCTCTGCCATCTGCTCAAGGTAAGAGGAAGACACCAAGCAGAGGCCGCCTTCAATAGACACTTGCAGAAGCAGGTAAGATACTAAATCTACTGGTCAGCATCTACCTGTTGATTAGAACCAAACCAGAAAAAATGGTGCTAGACCAGGTAAGATTGGACTTCTCTGAAATCAAAATTAAACTTCTGCCTGAGCAGAATAATTTAAATAAAATTTCCATTTGTGACTAATTCTATGCAACAGCACATGCAGAATTTTTTTGTCTTAGGCTCTTTCTGCTACAGCATCAGAGAACAGTTGCTAAATCCGTCAGGCAGGTGCAAAAGCACAAAGGTTTTCTGCTGTGCAAGTTTCACAGATTTAAGTTTTTTTTCCTTTTCTGAGCATTACAGCCTACCAAAAAAAAAAAAATAGGTACAACAAACTCAAACCCTGCTTTTTTAGGGTTTTTGCAGATAATATTAATGGAGAATGCCATCATTGTACCATACATGGATGCATGTTCAAGAGGGAGAAAATTAAAAAAAAGAAAATATTGCAGCTCTAAGAACAAAAGGCTTTGCTTTCACCCTTGCTAGGTTCAGTCTGGATGGGCAGCAACTTTATCTGGCAGAGCTTAGCAGCTGAAGCAGGACAGGGGGCAACACGAAGTCTTTCACAAGGGATACATTTACACTAAGACAGAAATTAAATTAAGAAATGCAGCAAAGCCCAAATAAAAATCTGCACCAAGAAAGCCCCTTGTTACGGCTTGGCAGCTGAAGGATACAGAAACACCAGGTATAATCAAGCGCATTGTGAGCCATCCACATCTTCTCCCCAAGCTCCCAATGTCCAAACGCACCAGCCCTTCATTAAAAACCACCTAGGAAATTTCACCACACTCAGATTTTAGAAAGAATAGGAGGCTTTCATTATAACCCCGAGATATAACAACTCACAATGCACTCATTTATTCATTTTTAACTCATTTACCTGCATTACGCCACACTGCTGACGGAAGAAACTGTTTCTTTCGCACAAGTTGTTTTTTTTTAAAGAGTGCCGAGTTGTCAAATCATGATCTTTTAACATCGTACGACAGAACCTAGAGGAAAAGCAGCTTTACTGGCAATTTCCAAATTACAAGTTCACACTACCCCACAGGAAGAGTATTTCACATGCTTCTAGCAATGTCAGAGCTCAGCAAGACGCTCACCCGCTTTAAACATCTCGGGTAACGTAGCAAAACATCCCTTACTTTTTTCTCTTTTCAGGGTTCCCTCTCTCATTTCATAACAAAATAGACTTAACTCTCCAATTTTAGCTACCTATAAAATTAATCTAGGCTCCTTCACAGTCACTAAAGACAGGCAAATCCCCTTACTTAGCTGTTACAGAAGAGGATCAATTACCCTAGGGGAGCCTTTTGTCTTCCTTTTGACAATAGCCAGCACCTGGAACTAAATACCTGATTTTCAGAAGATTACAGACAGCTGAGATGAATCCAACCCCAAGCACCTGAGGCTAAAGGAAGGCCAGAATTTACTCCTATATAACATCTGGGTCTCCTATAGGGCTCTTGGAAGATATAAGACAGGCTAAAAAGAATGCAATGGCACACAAACAATTCTCCTAAGAAAAAAAATACCAGGACAATATTTGGATGAAAGATAAAAACTCTGTATTAGCTGCACATACCAAGCCATACCTCACTCTTGCTCACCTCTGTTTCTTCTCTTTGGGGAATAAAGAAATTCAGTATATTCCAGTACAAGTACAGTTCCAGAATTAAACCAGACCAGTTAAAAAGAGGCCCTGCTCCATACTGGGCACACAGTTCATGCTAGCAGTCAAACTAGGGGTGGTGGCATCTGCTCAGACGAAGTTAAGAAGGGGGAGTGCAGAGGGGAAAAGACAAAAACATTAAGAGAAAAAGCAATGGGGAGCGATGGAGTAGCAGGCCTAACTTTCCAAAGTGTAAATACTTTATTGCACATCTGATTTCTGTAACTGTACACACAGTGAGCAGCACCCAGGTATTTCAAAGTGAAAATCAGAAAATGTAACCAAACCCCACCTCGTGCCACAGATAGCACAGATACAGTTACATACAGGGAATTATTATCTGCTTTCTCTCTTCCTTATCGGGTACAGAAGAGAAAGCAGGTAAATAAATTACATCTGCAGGGGCTGTTACTAAGGGAGGAGGCTGGTTCTCTCAGGGGGGGCATAAATCAGAACAGAAGCACTACACCTAGGTCGATTCCTCAAAGATGGAAAGAGGAGAAAAGCTCCATCTCATCAAACGGACCCCCCTACTGCCAGTAGGGGAGATGCAAACACAGAAAAAGTCTAAATCACGTTATTTGCTTACTTTTGTGGCTTTGATAGCCAGTACAGAGACCACAACAGGGTATGTGAGGAAGGTTCCCCAAGACAAAAATTCTCCTCTATGCCTTTTTAAGCTTTGGGGAGTAAAGATTATAGTCCCTTCTATAGTCCACAGCATGGGGCAGGAGGTTTGCCCATCACCACATGAATTTCCCTGTATTGCATAGTCTCTAGCAATCGGGGGTGAGGGGGGAGGACTTCCCCTTATGGCTTGGCCCTAAGTACATACCGGGGGGGGTATGTGTTAACTGCCCCTCGTTGCATGACCCTGAGCACATGTGGGTGGGTGGGAATCACCCCTTGCACGGTCCTGAGTACACGGGGGGGGGGAATTACCCCTCATTGCATGATCCTGAGCACATGTCGGGGGGAGAATCCCTCCCTGCTGCACCGTCCCGAGCACCTGTGGCGGGAATTACCCCTCGTTGCACGGTCCTGAGCAGCTGCGGGGGTTAATTAATTCTCCCTCCTTAGGCGCACGGTGGGCGCAGGGGGG